ACTTGATGTGAGATAAGGTGGTCCTGCTGCTGCTGTTGTCCAAGCTCAGCGAGCAGGACGGATTTTGGGACTGCGACTTTGATCTCGACTTGCTTCCCCATGAGAAAGATGTAGTGGGCTTGAATAGCAGCTGCAACGGACTGTTTGTCTCTGAAGGTGACAAAGCCGAAGCCTCGAGACTGGATGTGATCGCCCGGTTGGCTTCCAATAACTATGGCATCTTCCACTGCTCCAAATTGTTCTTCAAAGAACTCTCCCAACATATCTGGTATAGGATGAAACAAGAGGAGACTAACTAAACTCAGTTTTGGGAATTGGGATTTGGACCTCGGAGTTTAAAATAAGCAAGCAAGCAATTGAGGGATGAAAGGGAGGATAGTATTATCAAGGTACTGACCTGAGTCAACCGAAGGCGGGAGACCACCTACAAAAATCTTACGTTGTAGTTCTTCTTCCCAGGCCGGCCAAGTAGTAAAGTGTGACCCTTGCTTGGCCCGCACAAGTTCTCCTTCCCCATGTGCGTAATAGCACATGGACCCTCTAGCGCACCCACCAGGTGTTTCAAAGTATCTGCAGATTTGTCTCTTTGGGCTCGGGCAGAGCCCAGAAGGTTTGCTAGCATTTTGAAGATGAACAAGTAGATTTGAATCTCACAAAAACTAAACATCAAATAGTTCTATAAATATGGTCGAGTAAAGATTAGATTCAGATCAGGGTGATCACCTTCCGGTTGTAATAGTGGTGGCTTCTGCTGCCATGTTTAGGAGCTCCTCACCGGTGGTCTCTGTGTCGAACTGCTGGTAATTAAGCGAAGCAGTAGAATTCTCTTTCTCTTGACCGAGAGTTGCACGTCTCACTGAATGAAAGTCAAAGATAGAAACAGACAGAAGTCAAAAACAGTAATTTCATTGGTGATTGGAGTTTGACCAAATTACACTTCTTTTTGGATAGTGTAAGTGTAGTACTGGAGAGGTAATGCAAAATTACCATATTACCCTCATTCATTATTCGCGGGCTTTTTATGAAAAATGGAGAGGGTGATGGAGCGAGTTCTCAAGGGCGATCGGCCAGCTCAAATTTATTAGGGTTTGAGAATTCTTGTTGCTAGGGTTAGGTCTCGTGTAGTCATGTTGAATTCGGAAAGATAGAGTTTGAGAATAATCAGTTATACTTTTAAGATCAAAATTTTCATTTTCTTTTTCTGTTTCTTGGTGATTATTGTTTCGCAGGTTGAAGGGATGACGTGCAGACATCCAATATCGAGGTATCTCTAAGCCACGGAAACAGATCGAGGCGCCAATTGTTGACAGAGGAAACCAGAGACTCTCTATGGTTAGGGAAATATTATAATCTCTCTCTCTCTCTCGCGATTGCTTACCTGAGAACTTTGAAGCTTGGCTTACGTTTAGGTTTTTCCCGTCTTGGAGGTAAGGTTTCTTCTTCATTGATCTTCGCTCTGTAAATTCTCTTCCGCATCAGTCGAGAAATCCAGATCTTGGAATAAAGAAAGCTACGGTTAGGGTTTCTCCGCAATGTCGAAGAAGATAACACAGTGGCTAGGGAACTGTTTCTTCAACAGCAGCTTGGACTTGAGAGCTCTCTCTCTCTGGTTGAGTTTATCTATCGCGCGAAAGAGAGAAGGAAATCGATCATGGCGACAAGACGTCTCTGGTCGTCGAATGTTTTGGTCTTCACTCAGGAAGCTCCCGAGGAAGCCTAGTCTCTCGGTGTCGTGGTAATGCGATGAGAGAGAGAGAGAGAGAGAGAGAGAGGCTTTATATAGCAGTGCTGGATTCAGTTGACTTCTCCAGGCTTTATTGACTTCCCATTTGAAGCAATAGATTCGGTTAGAGAAGAAGAGATCTTAAGCCCTGAGTTATTCTGCAATTCTTGAGTACTTGAGTTGGCGTTCGGCGTTCCCCCAGAGAGGAGAAGGGCACGTCAATTTATACAGGACTGTCAAGTGTTAACGGGTCGGGATACGGGATAACCAGAACCGACCCGACAAAAATATCATGGAACTGGAATCGAACCAGATATATAGGTATGCAATTTTAGACCCAAAATTGAAATTCGATTATTGGGACAATCAGATCTGACCCAATGGACCAGATTACAATAAATTTACTGAGAATATATATATTTAATATATTAATTTATATATAAAAAATTAATATTATGGGTTGAATTTGATTTGATTCGGGACTAGATAGAAACAGTTCGAAACCAATGAATCGTGATAATAGATTATGAATTGAAAATAATTCAATGGTACATATCTTAGAACTAGAATTTGCCCTCAATTTGGATCCATCGGATCAGTCTTGATCCATTGACAGCCCTACTCACATAGGAAGTTTGGGCCTTGGCTGGCCCATATGGTCTAACCAAAGGGAGACCATTTCGAATAGGTGGACTGGAACTAGATTAATACATTGATATGGGGACAGAAATTTGATTGATATGCTGATGGGAAACTTTGACGGATCAGATCCTCGAGATGTAAATTCAATTCTACAAAATATAAAGGGTGAGCTCAATTATCACGTGCATCATTGTTTACTCGGTCCTACTACTGTGCCGAAAAGTAATTTATTTGGGTCCCGTTTGGTTTGTGGGAATAGGGGTATGGAATCGGTTACTTACTAGGTCCTACTACTGTGCGGAAAAGTAGTCTATTTTGGTTCCATTTTTTTTTTCCGCTTCATGGGGTAGCCCATCCCGTTTCCCTTAACCCCCAACCCCTTGTGGCAGCGGGATTTGATCTCAATTAGTTTGTATGAAAAGGGGTATAGAATCAGAATTGGAATGGGCCACTCCAATTTCAACTATTTAATTGGACAGAATTGAAATCACTTCCATTCTTGGTGGAATAATATTCCCTCATTTGAGGAAATAAACCAAACAGACTATGGGAATGGATGATTCCTATTTTCAACTGTGAATCAAACCGACCCTTGGTTTGTATTTGAAATCGGAATAAAAAATTCATTAAAATTAGAAATGAAATGATTTATTCCCATAGTCTATGAATTAGAATTGAAATAAACTGGAATGGGATTTCACTCCCAAGGAAAGGAGAGGGAATGACCATTTCCTCAAATGAGAGAATGTCATTCCAGTAAGAATGGAAATAAGATTCTAATTTTACCCAACCAAACAGTTAGAATCAGAAGAACTCATTCCAATTCCAATTCCATACCCCTAATCATACAAGCAGGCCCTAAGGCTGTATTTGGTTTGAAGAAAAAAAATAGAAAAAGGAAGGGAAAACAAGAAAACCTTTACAAGCCTTATATAGATTTCCCTATTTTTCCCTTACTTACCCTACATTTTCCTTCAAACCAAACATAGCCTAAGTTTTACAGGAAAAGAGAGAAACCACAGCCTCTCGCTTCAATCGGAGCTGAGATCATAAATGAGACACATCATACATGCCAATACAAGCTAGGGTATTGGCATAGGAAATGAGACACATCATTCGTACCATAGGAAATGAATGTTGTTTTTATACATTAGCATTTGCCCTTTTTACGGGATCAGAAGGGCTGGAAACAAAACGTTGCACAGCGGGCTGGCAACCTGTCAGGAGTTAACACACCAGTGCTCCGTATTAAAGGTGTAAAATGGGCTGTGCTGTGCCGGCATGGCATGCCCGTGTATGGCCTGCAAATTGTTTCGGGTTGTGTCTTTCTCCTCTGAGATATTTTGGGGGTTGGCCTGGCACAGCTCATGGCCCGATCCCATATGAGTTTGAGTTAGTCCATGAGCTGAGTTTTAGATCAAGTTGGGCTGTGAACCGGGTCAAAGTTATTTATTTAAATAATTGAAAAAACTTAAAATTTAATTTTATATGAATTTTGATGTATATAATGACGCGGCCTGTTGACCTAAAATCCCAAGTCTAATACGGCCCATTGGCCCATACAGTTGTACCAAACCAGATCGGGCCAGCTCAAAATCATACCGAGCCACGGACAGCACAGCCCAATTTACACCTCTACTCCCTATAAGTGGATTAAACTATGCATAACGTCGCTTCCAGCCAATCCAGATTTCCTATTTATTCCCCAAACTTGTCTTATGTTTTAGAAGTCAAGCCTATCATCACTAAGAATTGGTGTACAATGGGCTACATAAAGGCAATAACAAATGAACAGATACGCATAGATTCTCTGATACATGGGATTCGCTTGTGATTAGTTATAGCCCGTTTATACATGCATGTATTTGTACGTATAACTTAAAAATCAATGGTGGGTCCCTAGATAGCCTAGCACATGCACATCTAATGAAATGGGCCATCCTTGGTTCATTGGGCTTTGAACCTAAATTTTTGAGGGGGAAGCTTGTTATATCATGGACAACAGCCAATAGTCCAATGTGGCTGTACTCTTAGACACTAGACCTGGAAAATGAAACTTTAGGGGCTGTTTGGCATCATTGCTGTTTCCTAGAACAATGGTGCCACATCGTATCACATTGGAAAAATAGTAATTTAGGAAATGGGCATTTGTTTGGAACCATTTTTTCATAAAAAAATGGTGCTCTAAGTCACGCCTTGAAAATGGGGAAGCTATGGCTTGGAACAACATCAAATTTAAGCTGCAGCTCGTTGCATTGGATAATGGGTACTTGTCTGAAAACGTTTCCGGGAGCAATGGTACCAGACAGAAAATTTGCTGTTGCTCCAAGAAATGTCTTACCTGGCAGCAACGATTCCAAACAAAAATAAAGGCACCGTTTTCTGAAAACTGAGAAAACTGCAGCATCAATGCCAAACATATACTTAGTCTCGGGCTGTCATTTCATATACAACTTTTAGTGCGAAAAACAAAAGACCAGAATACTGATTCCTTTCAGGGGCTGCTGGGCCAGAACTTGCCTCATCAATATAAACGTGGAAAGCCGACGGGTCCCTTTGGGCCATCACCTGGAAAAATTCTTAAGCTGTTCAGATGTATAATTATGTCATGCAACTTCCAACAAACCAATCCTCATTCAATATCAAATACCCTAGTTTACTGAATGTAAGTTTTATGGTTGCATTTCCTGTAAATGACAGTGACCTGCTTCGTCTCTTAGGTAGGGCCAACTGAACTTGAGGTCCCAAACTTCCAAACCCCAATATGTAGAGTTACTCTTAGTAAGAGATTAGAACAAATCGGATTTCAAAAGATTTAATGCTATACTTCACAAACGCAGCTCTGAATATGGAATGTTAACATTATAATTTACAATGAACCAAATCAACCAATCATCAACATGTAACCCTACTTAACAAGTATATTTTCTTCATCATGCCCTTCACTGTACAACTGCCGAACTCATCAAAGCTTTATTAGTAGAATTGACAGAGCCTACATCTCCAAGTTTCTCTTTTTTGTAATATCGTTCAGGAAATTCCCAAGCAGCCTCTGATCAAATAGCATGTTTGGTACCTACAAGGGTACTCCAAAGGTTAGGGTCAGGCAGTGACGTATACAAAAGATGTTGCGGAAAAACCAACAAATCAAAAGCCACCATACCTTGTCTCCAAAGAAGATCTTGGAGTTGTTGGCTATAGCATCAATAAACTTCAGCTCGAGATACTGTGGTGTAAGCTTCAACTTGTTTGCTTCAGCTTCTTTCATAACTCTGGACAAAGGAACCGATCAATATCATCAATTACCACTACAATCACATCTGTATTATCTACATTTAAGGCCTGGACTGGATAGATGTTTTTTTGACCTGTAGTAGTTGGCATCTGCCAAGATTTTCTCGCGCTCCAGATACATTTGATTTTCGATTTGCTGCTGCATTTTAACGCTGTCCTTCTCCATCAGTTTCTGTTCCATGAAGATCCTGCTAACCTGAGCTTTTTTCTCTGCTTCTGTTAAGGCAATCTTTTTCTCAGTTTCAGCCTCCTTCTCAGCTACCCTTTGTTTCTCCATGGCAATTAAGACCTATATAAAAGGATTGACTACTCAACCAAAAGAAACATGGAAACTGATAAAAATACCAAAATGCATAGTGAACCATTTTGCACTATGATTTCTTAAGCTACCCAATACCAATTGATTTTTCATTCAACACTAACGTGATTGAATCAATAACATTGACCATTATGTCATGGAGAATGCCCTTGTTGTGAGACCTCCAGGTGCCCTTAAGTGAAAACATGTTAAGATGAGTGAATTGGAAAAAGTCACATGGATAAAAAGGATACAGAAGAAATGCTCACTATTGAGAATTATTTCCAATATAAGACGTGATCATGATAAGGTGGATACAGATGAAAAATAGTAATAAGCTAGAAATAAGGAGCCAGATACAGCATTATCCAAGGTTTACTGGCATTGAAGGTATTCCTGGGGGAGGGATGTGCATGCTGGAGTCAAGATGAAGAGCGCCAAGTAAGATTATGGAGGGAAAAAGATTTGGCATGTAAATGTGGATAAATTAGATGATGTACCGAACCCAACAAGGAAGTTGTGAAATTGAGTCCACCTTTTCCATGAAAGAATATGAAGAGATGTATATTTCCTGCAACCATTTCTGTCTCATCCTCTGTAGAAACCAACACCCTAAACTACAGGAGCAAGGAGGGTTAAAAGCTTTGGAAAGCCCTTGTAAATATGGGGAGTAGAAAGACATGGCTGTCCTATCCTAATAGGGGGGGGACTAATGGCGCAAAGCAAAATAACTGAAGAACAGTCTGTATCATGACAAGGTTATACATTGTTTTTCTTAGGCATGTTCCACACAAAATACATGTGACACTAGCAATAGGTCTTTAGTAGGATCCCTTGTGTGGTAGGTGTACTAGGATTGCTTAAGTTCTTTTCTTTTTTTGAAGAAAGGGCAAAAATTAAAAATACAACTACAGCATGTTGAGAGAACCAAACAAGTACCTTAGTGCGTTCTTCTTCCATCAGTTCAAAATTGCGTTTAATGCTTCGTGGAATTGTTGGTTTTGTGGCACGAACACTAATAATTTCAATACCTGGAGCATATTGTGTACAATCACCCTGAAGAGCATCTTTCATTTTCTCACCAATCTGAAACATTTTTGATTTATTACTTCGTAAAAGAAAATGTTGAAGTCCAAAATATTATTGGTTTTTTTTTTCAAAAAGGAAATTGACTGATATTAAAAGAATGTGTAGGAATCATGAAATAATTCATGAAGCTAAATCTATAACCCCAATATAAGTCTGTGGATGAATATCTCTAGTTTAGCTTGGTTTCTTGCCTGATCAAACATGTCTATATAAACTTGCTGAAGGGTATGAGAACTGCAAAACTGATTGATCTCATGATGAATCTTATCATATATCCATGTATTGTCATATTGTATGCCATAATTGAGCAGTGTCTCATACACATAATCCTTTTGAAGACGATTAACAACCTGGAGAAAGCATCCAGTCAATTTTAATACCAAGATGGTATCCAACTTGAATGGCAAAAAGAGGTGCAAGTTTTCATGGTCTACCTCTATCTTCTCAAAGCTGATCATAACACCACCTTTCGTACCACATGGAATATCCTTTACCTATTTATTTTGTAAAAAAAGAGCAAATATTGTTTGATAGTGATATACAGCAATTATTTCTTCATTTTAGATCAACAAAGCACATGGATAATAAAAAAATTATTGTTTTAACACAAAAAAATCCATAATAAAAGCATGGCTGGCAAACCTTCATTCACAAATGAAAGATAACTTTTGTTAGTAGGATGATTGGTCAGCAATACCACCTGAGTCCCCCCCCCTGCTTGTTTTTAACTGAAAACTACATGCCAAGTAGATTTCATTTCAACTTTTAGCCTACAAACTGGATAAGATTTTCTATCCCACATTCTAGATGAAAAGACGGATCCACCACTGATCCCAACCAACAATTCATGTTTTTTTTTTTTTGGTCAAATAAGACTATCAGCCTCATAATGAAATTGATTTGAACAATTCTATCCATAGCCCTGAGGGAAATAATACCAATACCTTATCTGTCTGAAGGGTCACTTGAATAGGCTCAAACTGAGTTATCAGAGGCATCTTCAAATGGAAACCTAGAAAAGAAATGAGTTCAATCATAATGTGTACAAGTTGAATACTTGCAACAAAACTGAACATAATCATACCTGGATTAGTTATTGTTTTCAGAAGGGCACCTCCCCTCCAGTAAACGCCAACATAACCCTCTGGGACTTGATGTAATATGGAAAAATTACCACTTGCAGTTGAAAACGCAGGCACAAGCACCTGTTTATTTTATCATAGCACATCCAAGTTAGTGGGTTTTGATAAACTGTGGAGAAAATTTTCCTCTAGTTATGAATTCTGATTTTAATTATATGTATGTCAAGGCTACAAAATATTTAAGCAAGGAAATAAAATAATTTTAAGGTGAACCCCTAGGAGACCATGCAAGATTATTGGAGTAATGACACCCTACACATGCAAAACAAATACCAGTAACTTGTTTTTAGGCAATTGAACTATTTTATCCACAGATAAAGCACAGATCACCAAACCAAAATTACATGGAATAAGCAAACTGGAAATTGAAGTACCCAACAACAATCTAGAGACCATTTCAATACCCAGGCATAGGTGAATGAGTGGTGCACAATATGTGCATCAAATGCCTTTGGACTTGACTCATGAGGCATGAGATGAAGCACTGCCTCGAGCAATTCTAACACCACAAATTGACAGAAGTGAACCTCAGGAGCTCATCAAATGGCTCTCAAGAAAATTGATAAGAGAAGTCAAAAAGTGGAGGGCTTATTAAGTATATTTGAGTTTAAAACTCATGTTGTCCCAAGGAATACAAAATTGACAAGCAAAAGAGGTAAAGAATGACATTTAAGGCATCAAAATGGAAGAACTAAAGTACATATGATTTTATCTGATTGTATATTCAAGTTGCAGTTTTTATTATATACACACCTTTTGGGCAGTATTTGTAGTTGTGTGCAATAATGCTCCTATATCAAAAATCAAAACATGCTTACATAATAGTAGAATTTTATGATATTCTCTAAACTATCAACTCTTTGTCCATGTAATTTTTATCCTTGACCATTCATTTTGTATTATTTACCCCGCTTTTTATTGGCATTATTATTTTATACATTTATTGAAGAGACCATGCCCACAGGTTTATCCCTCATGCTTCAGGCCAGTGAAATGTTTCATGTGATGCCTCTGAAATGGTGAAACCAATGAGATAAACTGTGTACTACATTGTGAAGACATTCATATGGGCCTATTATGGTTCATAAATTGCATTAATTACTTCATGGTTCATGTCAGACACTAGTGTTTGAAGGAAAGTGAAATGGGATCCAAGTGTTGATGTTAACATCAAATCCAGATATGACCAAAGAAAATAACAAACTTAGTAGACTCGTAAGATGAATTTTAGCAGGTGTAGGAAATTTGTTCTTCTTCTCATTCTATTAAAGAGGATTTTCCCCTTCTTTTCTTGTCTTTTTCTTAATTCTCTATCTTTGCTTCTTTTTTATTTGTTTTCCTTTAGGCTGTGTTTGGTTTGAAATAAAAGGTAGGGAAACCTATACAGATCTTATACAGTTTCCCTACCTTTTCTTTCAAACCAAACACAGCTTAGTTTTAAAATAGTTATTTCTTCTCTTGAGATAATGATTAATTCTTTTCCTTTTCCCCTCTGTTGACATAGAATTTAAGTGAGGTTGATTTTGGCTCAATAGAAATTTTACTTTATAAAAATACTGTTTCTTATTTGCATGGTAAAGAATCAAATTGAAGCAAAAATGTTCATTAAACAATCCCCTGTGCCCCTAGATGCTCTGGCAGAATGGTTGGCAAGGCCTTCCAGGCATTCACATTTTTTACCTCCTCCACTGAAAAGGGAAACTCCAATCTCAGGTTTATAGACATTGGGTATTCTGTGGAAAACTAGTGCCAGCACAAACTTTTCAATGTTCAATCAATAGCAGAGAAATATGTCCACAGTACCCATGGAATACTTGTCATAATCTCACCGCATGGCTGTATCATTTTCTCATCCTTGACTGGTCATATAAGAGTCATGGTAACGGATTCCCTAACACAATAATGCCATTGCACAACTCAATAGCAAGGGGTACAGCCGCCATTGTTATTGAAAAGAGAGACCCTGTTCTTTGTGTTGGGATGCACATGTGAGTAGGTGTATGGAATGAGATATGAAAGAGAGTCCCACATTGGAAAGACACAAGACATGCAAGGGACTTATATACAAGAGCGGCCCATAACCCAATAGATTAGGCTTTTGGGTTGTAAGTGGTGTCCACCTCTTGTGTACAAGTCTTACGCATGTGTATGTGTATGAAGCCCCCGGTTTTGGCAACTCCTCATGGTCCGCGACCCCCCCTCAAGGCCCAACAAGTGGTATCAGAGCCGAATGTTCGGCTGGGTGCAAGTGTTGACAGACGAACATGACGGTGACTCCCATGGCTTTGCTTCCTTTCCCCATGGTTGAGTAGTTTGCATGTGATGGCTCTCATGGCTCTACCAGTTCCCCATGGTCAAATGGGTTGGATGAGAGTAGTTGGTGAACGGTTTTCAAGAGCATGTACATGGTTCCCATGATACCACCCATGGTTACGTGTGTTCAAATAGGTAGCAGGAGGTGGTAGGCTCCCTGTGGTCGTGAACAAGGGCTCTTGGTGTTGTGCATGCAGTGCACAGTATGGTACATGTCAAGCTTGGTGATCAACTTCCGTTCGAGGGGGAGTGGTTAAAGAAACTCACATGTGAGAGGGAGAATGTTGGGATGCACATGTGAGTAGGTGTATGGAATGAGGAATGAAAGAGAGTCCCACATTGGAAAGACACAAGAAGTGGTGTTCATCTCTTGTGTACAAGTCTTACGCGCATGTATGTGTACTAAGCTCCCGATTTTGGCAACTCCTCATGGTCCGTGACCCCCCTCAAGGCCTAACACTTTGCCCATAAATTTGGCATGGTTTTCATCTGAATAAATAATAAAATGCCAAAAATGAGTAAGCCACTGAAGCCAATAGAAGTTCAAATTCTTATGCTTCATGCTTCTGTCACGGATCAAACCAAACAAAATACCACTTTATCCACCATTTGCTGGTCCCAAACAAAATGCCACTCTAGAGTGCATTTAATTGATGCTAGAATCAGTAATTTTCAAAATGATTATCACCACAAAGTTCAAAAATGGATTATGCGGTTATGAAGTTTATAGATAAATTTCATAACGGCAGTGGTCGCTGTTCCTATAAAGGAATAATATACAGCAGGAATCTTGGTCTGCTATCTTCTTACTAGGAATTTCTAATGAACTAGATTATCCAATTTGCATATCTATCATCAGTAGGAACCAAGTATGTAGAGGCATACATACATAATGGATGTAATGAGGGAAGAGGAAGAATAGATAATAAAAGGTACTTGGGAGGTCTAATTGCATTCAATCGTCTATTTCTTCTCCTCTTTCTCGTATTTTTCCTGATTTTTGGTTCTGTAACCGCTAAGAAACTTCGTTGCACAAAATACAGTTGCTAAAGCACAAAGCGGAATTCTAAATCGACAAACACACTGCGCTTCTTTCCCAAAACAGTAAAAATCAGACAAAGCTATGCTCTGACTAAATAGCTAAAACCGTTCTATTAGGGCGTTAATAAAACAGACAGGGAGCAACCTCAAAATGATCTAAGAATGGATTAAACAAATAGCACGAAGAGCAGAGAGAGAGAGAGAGAGAATAATATATGAAACTTTGAAGAGAGATTTTACCAAAGCAGCGAAGGAGAGGAAAGCGATCAGAACAGTGACAATGGCAGAGAAGCCTCCACCACCGGGAGAAGGTCGGGGAGCTCTCTCTGTTTGCTGCTGTGTCCGGGTGTCCATGACGATTAGTCTCGCTCTCTGTAAAGTCGTATGCTGCCTTGCCCCAAATGAAATGAACTTGAATAAATATACTCACTTCACTTTTTCGCTCATTCGTTTATGAACACGTCATCAAGTTGTACGTCAACCTGAACTAAAATTCCAATTTTAATACAATCTTAAATACGTGTAAATCAGTAGAGTATCTTATAGGACGCTTGTATAGTTATATCGTATCTCATTGAAGGAGCCAATTTTGTTTCACTCTTAACATCTTGCCGCCCGCACTGTGTGATTAACGGTAAAGAGAAAATTTCCCTGCATCACCGTATGAATGTTTTCAAACCGAACCGGGTCGGACGGTCGGATCGGAAAACCGGAAACGGTCACCTGAACCGCTTTTTGGCTGAAAACCATTGATTTGGTCAGTAAACTATTGATTCGGGTGGTTGAATCATCAATCCAAACAACGGGTTTTTATTTTTTACTTTTTTCAGAATGGGCTATATTCGGTCCGGATGATCGGATAGTTCAACCAGGGAACCGATCCCCATAATGGTTTCCTGTCCAGTTTGTTTTTAAAAACCTTGCATGTTACTCTATGTTATTCCATGCAGAATAGTGGTATTAGTAAACCTGTTCATGGGCCGGGTCGGGCCGGGCTTTCACTTGTCACTAATGAAAATATACTAGGCCCGAGCCCGAGCCCGAGCCCGGCCCGACCAACGGGCCTATAACTTGGGCCCGAGCCCGGCCCTGGTAAAAAGCCCGAAGCCCGAGCCTGAGCCCGAAGCCCGACCAAATTGAAAAAAAAAACAATTTTCCCTATTCAAATTAGAATTAAAATTTCAGATAAGTATTTTTTTTTCTATTTAAATGAACAATGGGCCTATGGTATTTTTCCCTTTCTTTTATATTTTAAAACACAATTTTACATTCTTAAATCAAAAAAAATTATTCAAATGAACATAATCACATAAAATAATTTTAAGTTTAATATTAGGTTGGGTCGGGCCGGGCTCGGGCCGGGCTATTTTGACAAAACTCGAGCCCGGCTCGAATTTATTGCGGGCCGGGCTTTTTGGCCCGAATTTAAGCCCGCGGGCCTATAAAAATGTCCAAGCCCGTCCAGGGGTCGGGCCACCCGGCCCATGAACAGGTCTATGTATTAGTAGGGGTGCAAGTCGGTCTGGATCGGGTTGATGTCAACCCTACCTCAACCTAAGTTGTTTTGGGTTAGGTTGGGTTCAGATTGGGTTCAACTTGGGTTTGGGTTAGTCTCGGGCTGGTCTCAGTTTTTTTACATCTTTTGCCAAATTTACTTATTTACTATATGTTAAGACTGCTTGATTTGAAGGAAAAAAATAGAGAAAGATAGGAACACCTATAAAAGATTTGTAAAGATTTTCTTATTTTCTCCTTCTTTTCCCCACTTTTTCCTTTAAATCAAGCACATTATATTCAATATATAAAAGAATATTGTTGACATGTTCTAGAAAGAACTCAAATCAGTCCCCTACAAGATTGCCCCTCACAACATCCCAAAGCACATTCCTATCATGCATGATCGGAAACATCTCTCAATGACAAAAATAATGATGTCATCATCAGGAGATATTTCGAATACAGGGTGGGGACGTGCTGTGGAATGTTGTGGGGGATAATTCTTCTGGTGGGCTTATTTGGTTTCTTCAAGAAAAAATTTTGCCTTTAAATATAAAATTTTTAATATATAATGTACATGCATATATCCACGTGGCCGACAATTGAGCTCAGCCCAGACCAGACTATTGGATCCAACGGGATTCCCTGTAACCAAAAATTTTATACACTCGGAAAGCATTAAAACAAATTGGGAATATCTATTCATGAATTAACACAGGTATGGGAGATATTCCGAATATGCAACTAGATGTCATGTAAGAAGAGCCTTTCTCGTAGGAGATCCGAGCTCATATTTGGGTGGAGTGATGGAGGACTTTATTTTATTAATTTATTAATAATCTCTGTGGGCTACGCAAATTTGAGAACGAACCGGGAAGCAACGAGGAAGCCCATGAGTAGTCTCATTGAGTCATCTGCTGGAAAATTCTTAGGATTCATTTGGTTTATAGTTAGAATTGGATTTAGAATAAAAATCTTTTAGAATCGGAATTAGATTGATCTATTTTTAGAATTTGTTTGATTAGACAGAAATGAGAATTAAAATTGGAATCAATAGGAATGGGATTCTATTTCTAACGGAGGGGGAGGGAGTGACCATTCTCCTATTAAGAAGATCACTCTATTAGATAAAAATAGGATTCCCATTCTGCCCAACCAAATAATTGCAATTGGAATAATCTATTTTGATTTCAATTCTAAACCATTATTTCACCAACCAAACAAGGCCTTAGTCTGTAAACCCTTTGCCAGGCAACATCTGACAAAAGACTTTAAATGTTTGTTCTTTTTACCCAAAAAGGTGAGACTTGAGATGGTCAAGGTTGAATAGAGAAAGAGCTCAATAGAATTTAAGCTGTGTTTGGTTTGATAAGACAGAACAGAAAGTTGAATGAAAGTTGTTGAAACCGAAAGGAACTTTCCCTCAACTTTTTAATACAAATAGATAGGAGTATTGCATCAATGCAAATGAAATTGCATAGCAAACACCATAGCAAATTTAAGACCAAATGGATAAGTTAAAAAGGAATTACCCGTAGCCTGGGAAGCAATTTCTTTTAAATTCATGGCAGGCGGTGTGCAGACCAGATCACCAAAATCTAGAGTGGGCTTAGAAGAAGTCAGCAGTGTACGGCAAACTTGGGCTTGGGCTAGAATTTTGTAAAGGGCTTAACTCAGGTCTGATCTCATTTCAGCCCACAATTTGGATCTCAAACACAAGTCCAGGCGATAATAATATAATATAATATAATATAATGCAATTCCTAAGCTGGTGTGAGATACAAAGCCAACTAGCCAAGGCCTACAAGACTACAGAGAGTTATGCATCCGTCGTTGGTGCAAGCTAGGGTTTCCATGGGGTGAAGTGAGATTGTTCTAGACGTTCATGTAGTGGAGGAGCTCATTCTGTAAGTAGATGTGTTGGATTGAGTCCAGTTGTCTATAAATCGGTTATGATGGCGAATCACAGAAGGTTTGACAACCTACTCATTGGTCCTTGCATGCAGTGGAAGAATCCACCGTCAACAAACATGTTTCACCGCTCTAAATACCTAAGAAACAGGGAGTATCCCTATCACCTGTACATTTATTTGTCTGGACCGTTTTTAAGACACTTGTTGCTTCTGGTTTGTTTTTAATTTTATTGTTAGTTTTCTCGTATCTTCTCTTTGCTTAATCATCCTAGTCCGGTTCTTCTCGTTCTGTTTGCTTAAGATTAGGCTTCTGGTCCAGTTTCTTTAATTAGTAGTTTAGCTTGAGGGTTTAGCTGTCAAGTCACTTGATTGTTTAGGCTCTCTTTTCTTCTTCCTTCTTGACAATTTCTTTTCTCCCCTCAGTGTCCCCCGCTCTCTCAGTCCTCCCTCCTCTCAGTCCTCTTACCTTCCCTCTTAACCTGTTCTGGTTTCTTTCACTATGGATAACTTAGAAGCTCTGAACGAAGCCTTTCAACATATGCTTCAGGGAAACAGGAACAATGGCATAGAGGTAGCCAATATTCATCCTCTAATCCCTCCAGACGTTGCTCATAACTGGTAACTCTCTCTTATCTACCGTTTCTTCCCCCGGCTCACAGATCAATTTGAAGCTCTAGATTTTGGACCCGGGTACTCTCTTAATGGCCCCTTTCCATAGAGGTCACTTTTGGTTAAACTTCCATTTTGCTGAGGATTATGATAGTGTTCGTTTAAACAGACATTGGACGTTAAGCGGTTAATGGATTCTTATGTTACCTTGGATCCCAAGTCTCCCTCAATACACTTGGAATCTCTAAGAGATTGAAGTGTGGGTTCAAATCCATGACCTTCCCTTTGAATCCTTAGCTGTAGATGTGGGTCGTCCTCTTTTTGAATGCTTAGGTCCCACTTGCAATGTTACTGTCGTTCAAAATTACATTAGAGCTAAAGTCACTATATCTGTGGATCGTCCTCTTCGAATTGGTTGCTTTGTAACTGTCACCAACTGGATCACTTATAGGTATGAGGATCTCACCTGGGTGTGCTATATTTGCGGAAAAATAGGACATCAATTTCGTCGCTGCTCCAAACCTTTGTCTGACCCTCAGGGCCGTTCTTACGATTAGTTCTTTAGCTGGAGGGTTATGAACCTTCCTGGCCCATGGCTGAGGGCTGAACTTACCCTACGGCGGACTTGGAAACGTCCTCGGTTCATGGACTTCATAGATATCCCCCAGCCTATCCCTCTAGCACCTGAAAACCCTCCTGTTGAAGGAACCTCCTCACCTACTAAACATCCTCAACTGGTTATTTCTACTTCCTCCCCACAGACTCCTACATACCTCATCCCTACTAACTCTTCTATTGTCTGCAGCAACTTTTCATTTAGCGGAGACAACCCAAGACTTAGTGAATCAACTTTTCGAAGACACTCCGGGCCCTTCTTCCTGTGCTCGAGGCAAACGACCTAGACTCGATTCGACTTCTCACCTGTTCTTAGATCCTGAATCCCCACACCTGCCTACTTATGATACGCCAGATCATCCCTCTAAGGAGACTCGTATTAATTGTATACTTATGATAGATCTGGTGGGACATTCTAAGGAAAACCAAAACTCAAAGGATCAACGTTCGGCAAGTTCTCCCCTTCCTTCCTTTCTTTTCTTTTATTTGTGGGTAGAGGTGGCTGGCCCAAAACATCCCCACCTTTATCAATGATTGTCTTTAGCTGGAACTACCAAGGGGCTGGGCGCCCCAAGGGCCAAGGCAGTTAAGGGAATCAGAGACTTTGTTAACCATGTAAATCCTGACTTTATCTTCTTGTGTGAGACAAAGATCCCTAAAGATAAAATTAATAGATTGACTAATATTTTACATTATCATAATTGCATCACTGTCAATCATGAAGGAAGAGTAGGAGGATTAGCAATCCTCTCGAAAGCG